TAAACTTACGTATATTTACAAATATAACATAAATCGTATAGGAAATAATGCTTGTAGAAACCTCTTTTTGGATATATGTTCATGAGAAAGTCCTTTGAAATCCTAGCTTGTCAAAAAAAAAAAAAAAAAAAAAAAACGACAAGAAAATTCTGTTTTAATTGCCAGATTTTAAACTTAAAGCTGTTGTACAAGCAAACTTTAAGTCTAACTGTAAAACAAAACAGGTCTACAACGGGATGGACATTTTTTATTTTAGGTTGGCACAAAACGATAAAAAGAATAACAATAATGTGTTAAAAGTTTTATTAAATAATAGTTGACAAGTATATTAAATTTAATAATATTTCGGTTTTCATTACCTCTTTTCTGTTTGACTTTGACTTGCTGTAACTAGAAACTTCGATACATATATCTCAAAATCTTCATGCTACTGCACACATGACATCGAGTTTTTATAACATTTAAGTATTACACTCCTTAGAGGATAATATTCATATAATATTCTTAGGGACGAATAATAAATCATTTGTAAAAAGTTTTTGGGTTGTCAAGGGAACTGGCCATCTACAAATATTTAATAATATGAAACAACTCCTTGAAGTATAATTATATCTATGAACTTTCATCATAAATACAATTTCATGTTTATAATTTACGAAATTGGGTAAAATGACTATTGTTATCGTTTTATGAAATGTCAATTCGTGCTATATTTCAAATATACTCATCGTTATTTATAATACATGTGTGTACCAGTACACATCTACAGTTGTCATAGAAATTATATTAATTCAACTCATTAAATGCGTTTAACTTTGCAATTGCACAATACACAACTATCAATAAACTGAAAGTAATTTTAATATATAACATTCGTTTTTTTTTTTTTGAAATATGATGGTGAATTGTATAAAAACCATGTTAGTATTTATCGAATCTTCATGAATAATAGAATGTGGAAAACACGTGAATAAAAACAACATAAATAAAACATGTTTACACAATGCATGGAAAGCTCTACCCATCATCCCAACCCCATTCCCCAAAATCAAAGAATAGTCTTAATTAATTTGAAAGACACTTTTACATCAACCAACACTGACGAGTTCCCGCAGTCCTGACTTTGAGACGGGTAAAATGTGTCACTATTTAACCAGCTTTTGGAGCACTCAACTGCTTTCGATTACTAAGAAGTATCTTCATAAAAAAAGATAATTTAAGCTAAAACATATAAAGATTTAAACAAATGATAATGTAGAAAACATTTCCAAAAGTGATTTTTTTTTATCTTGTTTGTTTTATTTTTTAATTTACCATCATCAGCATGGTTTCTTGAAATCTCTAGCAGGCGAAGGATCCAGGGTTAGATGAAAAGGGGGCGTAATTGTCCGAAATGTTAAAAAATTAAGACCAGGCGTAGCGCTAGCGTTCTCCGCCACCTGAATCTGCCACTGTCTAGAGGAGAAGTATTTAGTGTTCAAACATTGTTTCTGTATACTTTCTTTTATGTTCTTGATTATGTGAAAGGGACAACGACAAAAAATAGCAAATGCTTGATATAGATAGTTCATACGTGTTTCTCGTTTCTCGTTTTTATATAGATTAGACCGTTGGTTTTTCCGTTTGAATGGTTTTACATTAGTAATTTTTTGGGGCCCTTTATAGCTTGCTGTTCGGTGTGAGCCAATGCTCCGTGTTGAAGGCCGTACCTGACCTATAATGGTTTACTTTTATAAATTGTTACTTGGATGGAGAGTTGTCTCATTGGCACTCATACCACATCTTCCTATATCTATATATGTTAATTTTTTGTAGCATTATTTTTAAAAATAAACAGATAATTTCATCTCGATTAAAGAAAATAGAGTAAAAGAGTTTTAATTTATTCAAATATAAAAGAAATGTGATATGACATAGAGAATTACTTTCCATGATAAAATTGATAACAAACCCATAATTCTAATAACTTATTCAAATAAGAAAAAAAAATTGAAATGACATAGAGTTGCTTTCCATGATAAAATTGATAACAAACCACAATTCTCATGTACTTATATTTCTTTGGCGAGAATATTGGTGAACTACATTAGTTTTTATTTTCTGTAAGTATTTATAGGTGTGGGTATCAAGTTCGCATATTAATATTATGCGAACAAAATGAGGAAGTTATGCACAATTTGTAGCTTTAAAAATACATTAACTTTTTATTTGTATTATTTGAAAATGCATATAAAAATATACATAATTATAACAAACTGCACAAAAAAAAAAAGAATAATAATCTGCTCTCGGACTTCCTCAAACTTTGTATTACTAGTATGTACAAATGTACCATCTCTGTATATGTCGGTAAATTTGATACGTTGCGTATAAAATTACATAGCTACAATCCCGTGTTTTTTTATTCAATTTTGACATCTCCGAATCATCGATTTTTACTGGGGAAACTGCACAATTGTTGATGACAGTTGAAGAACAAGAAGTGTTGTTGGGAACTGATACAATGTTTGGTGAAAAACAAGAATTAAATAATACACAGAAAAGTGTGGCATTTATAATCCACGAAAACCTCATTTACAACTGTTTGAATTTAGTGATTCATTTATTATCCGTATTACCCTATATTTCTAAAAGTTATGACATTACAACTATTGTAAATCATACTGGGAAAATCTGACATACATTAACCTAGAATTTTCATTATTTATTTTAAAAAAAGTGTATATTTCAATTATAGACATAGTTTCCAGTGAAGAGTTATTGTATGAATGAACTCATCTTGTTTACCAAGGGTATTTTATATGGATCTCATATCTTCCTTTCTTTCCTGGTTTTGATAGGGGTTAACTTTGGAGATTTTTATCCAACGATGATTTTCAGGGTGAATAATTTTTGAATTTAACGGCAAATTGACACTTTTATGAAAATTTGAAAAGTGCGATAGAATTAAGTAAGTTGTTATATCGATTGACATGTCCACCCTTTAAGTTACACTGATTTAACAGTCACGTCGATATGCAATATTTAAATGAACTAAGTACGTACAGTTAGTTACTCTTTTGAAATCACTGGTCGTTTTGTTATTTTTAACAAAGCATTTTACGAAAATCAAATATGACAGAAAAGAACTTTGTTTCATTTAACAGAATGGCCAACGCAGGTGCAGATATCTTTTTGCAGGAAGAGACAAATCATACGTTGTAAAAAAACACTCTTTTTCAATAAAAGAAATGCTTAGACTAATATTATTAATTTAAGATGCTGGATAATTTTATAGACAACATATTATAGTTCTTCGGAAGATATGTTTTTCAAAAGACAAACGTTGCATTAGAATTTTACTTGTTATTTTGGTAAAACCTGACATTAGCTCAGACATAAAGCTAATATCAACAATTTATAAAAAAAACCAGTTACATTGATAACAGAATGAATCATTAACAATTTGTAAGAACTTCTTGACTTCCTATAAAACTGATAAGTCTGCATGTGTTCTTCTGATATTCTTATCTAAGTTTACTGTTTTTTAAAGATCTCTAGAATAAAAGAGACAGTATATATTTACAAAACATTCTTGGCGAGAGTTCTGAATTTTCTAATGAATGTTTGAAATACATGATTTACTAAACATTAAAATTGCACGATTGTGTTTTTTACTAATTTATATTATAATCTGGGGCCAGTTTCACAAACCTGTCTTAGGATGGTCTTACGACATATCGTAGTCCTAAGTGGGTTTCATAAAGTGGTCCTAACTTAGGACATCTCTTAAAGTTGGTCATAACGTTAGGACTACACGAGAGGTGTTTTATGGTGGTCTTAGGATCCAAAAATAATTTGAAGCTCTGATTCTGTGAAATTGGGACTCCTTTTCATGCTCATAACTAAATCTTTATAGGTTGGCGGATTATCAAAATGATTTATCAACAATGAACATTCGATGTATTTATAGAAATATGGGAATTACATACTACATTTGCATGAATGTTTCCATAAATCCATGTTAATATCTAAAAATTTAAAGACCTTTCTACAGGTTTATGATATCTTAGCTAAGATCATCCTAAGACAACTTCATAAGAGGATCATAAGACATGTCCTAAGATATATCTGATGACAGATCTTAGGATAGCTTCGTGAAACTGGCCCCTGGTGAATAGTGTTACATGAATACACTTCTAATGAAAATAAAACTTTTTAGATTTGTGGTGTTCTATCATATGGTAGATCTATTCTAGAAGTGTTTAGAACAGTTCTTTGACAAATTATTCTGACAGTTCTAGTGTGGTTGGAAATGATCCCAATGGTATGTCCTGAAATAAGGGGTCGACTGGGATTTATTGCGCGGCATTTTGCATGACACTGGTAGATAAGGGTATGTTGAATATGGATATGAATTAAGCATGCAAGAGGAAAACCATGGACCCCTCAAAGAGTTGTTGCAAGGGTTCTTTACGTCCAGAGAGCGTGTCACCCTCATCGGATTAAAAGTCCACATTATAGCCGTTTGTGGCTGCGAATTTATCCATCCCTCACAACCAAACGGATGTCCCACTTTGTCAAGGGTTTTGCTGCCGGTGGGAAGAAGACTAAGGAGTGGCAATTTTTGTCTACGCTTTATTTATTATTTGAAGTTTGTACGACAATGCAATTGAACGAACGATTACTGGACTTATGTGTGCATTTTTATTTAGGGGTCAGCTGAAGCCCGCCTCCGGGTGCGGGATTTTCTCGATGTGTTGGAGACTCATTGGTGGCCTTGGGCTGTTTTATGCACTTTGTTCGGGTTGTTGTCTCTTTGACACATTCCCCATTTCCATTCTCAATTTTATTTAAATTCAAAGTTATACTCATTTGAAAAGTTTAGTTGATCTTGATAGGTTCTGTCTTTAATTTTCATACTCTTTTTGTTTTTTACCCTTTATAGGATAAAGCGTTTTAAGATTGGACAACAAATAAGCGTGGCTTTTAAGTTTATGAAATTTATATGTTTTCTTCAGAATCCTAGAATATATTATATGCACATAAAATCTGATGTGAAATTTCGATTTGCAACCACCTTAGTAACCAGCAAAGTAGCTAATAGTGCCAAGACTCCAATTGAAGCTCATTTTGAAGTCACTCTTCCCGATGCAGCATTCATTACAGAATTCATCATGTAAGTTTTACTTTTGGACTATATAATAGAGACAAGAAGTGGAGGAGAATAATAGGCAATACAACTAATATTGTAATTAGAGACGCCAAAACACACCATACGAACATACCAGCATATCTGTGAATTTGATTTGGATACTTAAAAAATCAAAAGGTCTATTAGAGAATGTACACGCCATGTCCGTTTCCTCGTTCAATATTATAAAAACATTTAGCTTCTCTATCCTTTACACGAATATTCCTTATTTAAACCTTGAAAACAGATTCAAATGAAATGGGTTTAAGCAATTATAGTCCACCGTTCGGCCTTCAACAATGAGAAAAACCCATACCATAGTCGGCTATAAAAGGCCCCGACATGAAAAGTGTGAAAAAATTCAAACGAGAAAACCAACGGCCTTATTTTTAACAAAGCATTTTTATGAAAATCAAATATGACAGAAAAGAACTTTGTTTCATTTAACAGAATGGCCAACGCAGGTGCAGATATCTTTTTGCAGGAAGAGACAAATCATACGTCTGTAAAAAACACTCTTATTCAGTAAAAAATTGCTAAAACTAATATTATTAATGTAAGATGCTGGATTATTTTATAGACAACATATTAGTTCTTCGGAAGATATGCTTTTCAAGACACACGCTGTATTCTTATAAAACCAACTGTTCTTCTTGGCTTGCCGACTTTTTCTTTATTCGTATGAGGTCAACTCCATACAGGAGATTCTCAAGGAAAATGGCATTATACTTTAATAAAACTTCACGTTCCGCTAAAAATATGATGTCCTTTCACTAAATAATGAAAGTTTAGGGATTATATTGATTGCATCTACATTGATCTAAATGAATTCAAAATTAAGGATACCACCAATACATTTGATCCTGCATAATGACTTGTCGGTTGAGAACTTAACTTTACGACAGAATGATTTCATTATGTAATTGTAAACTTTCCATTTTTGTGTAGAAAAATTCTAGCAGCACCTACCTACATATGTAGTATAGATTACAGTGTTGCAGGGCTTGCTGTGCCTATCTTGACATCTTGGATTGAGGGTTATAAGTCATACAGATATTGCATCAAGGGTTGAACGTTGAAGTCATCTCCTTTCGTAACTGCTACGGACGCCATCATGATTTGGTTGACCGTTATAGAATCTGTAACTCAGATGACGACGGATATCATCAACTTGCTGTAATCGCAATCCTTACTATTTTCCTCAATTGGGAATTAGGGTTTTGGTGGGTGTTTTTTCGGTTCAATCTCTTAAATTTCTGTAAAGCTTTGTTATTGTTATTTGTTTTAAAGTAGTTTTTGATTTTGGCGACGGTTTGTCTGGTTTTATAAGACTTTAGTTTTTATTGTTCCCTTGGTAGCATCTTTCTCTTGATTTGTTTTTAAATCAGTATGCTTTAGAAATTGCTACGTTCATGAAAGAGTCATATTGAGCATACAGCTCTTGCTGATCACTAGGCTTATAATTCGTTGATATTATTTGGATTGTGGTTAAGACAATGTACATAAGACAATGATTCTGGTTCGTCGACCGAGTAAGATGTTTTTTATGGTAGAGTGCTAGCCTTAAATTCTAGAAGGTCGTGGGTTCGATCCCCGTCCAGGTAAAACCTAAGACTTGCGTGTAATAGCTGCCACTGGGCTTTAAACACCAATTCCTCCTTCTTCAAATATAAAATCTTAATTTACAGACAGTGTTTTAAATAAAACGAAAATACGTTGCAATATAAAATGAACTAGCAGGCTTATAATTACGAATGAGAGAGTTGAATATATTGCCATCATAATGTCTTTTTAAGCAGTCTGAAGAAAACAATAACTATCAACCATTATGTTTTATTTCTAATTGCACTTTTTCTTCTATGGTGATACTGCTCTTACATTTTAGGGAAATCGATGGACGGACATATCCTGGAGAAATCAACGAGAAAGCGAAAGCCAAGGAGAAGTACGATACAGCTAAGAAAAGGGGTCAAAGTGCTGGACATGTGGCACAAAAGTAAGAACACATTGAGTAATGTCACTTATGTGCTGATATTATTATGCATTGAATGAGAGATTTAATTTGGACTAGTTGCATTAAAAATAATCAGTATATTAAATTTTTTAAAGACATTGGAACCAATAACATTGATCTGGCGATTACATTCTGTGTTTGTGTTATATAAAACATTATTCACTTCAATTATCTATTACTAGGAGTACACTGCTACCAGTAAACAAATTGTAGATAGGAATCGGTTACTGTTGTACACTATTTGTTAAAGAATCACCAATATATTTTTCTGTCAATTATTATTTCATTTTTGTCAAAACACATTTCCAGCCAAAATTAGTTACATTTTACATTACATTGAATGAACGGTATTAACATGAGTTTTTTTTAATTAATCTAATCGTCGGAGCACGTTTTTGGACACTTGTTCATCCCTACAAACATGATAGTCAAACACCAGAAAGCAAATGAATGACCAAGAAGTCTGCTAAAATTTGATTTTGTTTTGTAATTGGTATTAAAAATTATCATTCGTAATTAATTTGTTTGCATTTTATTTTATTGCAGACCAAGACATACCAATCGTTTTAGTGTTGATGTAAACATTGCAGCGGAGAGTAAAGTGACATTTAACCTTACTTACCAAGAATTATTAGAGCGTGTATATGAGGAATACGAGCATATCATATATGTAGACCCAGGTCAGATTGTGGAGGACTTCCAGATTGACGTATACATTCAGGAGTCAAGAGATATTACCAAGGTCTCAGTGCCTCCGTTACGAAATGATATTATATCAGAAACCAATGGTAAATTTTTCATTCGTTAAAAGTCAAAAATTAAAAATTACGGGAAAGTTCAAATATGAATTGTAAAGCATATTAAGATCTCAACTGAAAATTATCATTACATTTAAAATAAAAGTGCGCAAGGGAAAACGTTTTAGGAATTTTACAGTGAATATTGCAGATCATCATATTTTTAAGAGTTATATACGTAGTGCGTTAAGTACAATTATATATAGTCTTCAAATTAAAAATTGGAGATCAGGTAAGAAAACAAAGACATATATACACATGTGTATATAAATCTCTGAAGAAAATAAATGAAACGTTTTTACAAAGATCACCATCTAATATCAATATCATGATCAGTTTCTGAAAGCGCAAAGACAAATAAAAACAACAACCACTGGCGAAACTCATGTGTAAGAAAAAAACTCTTTATTATTATATGGTGTGACTAAACTCATATCATATTATCTCTAAGATAAACATTATAGTGTGAATGGAGATTTGATTTCAAGAAGGAAGAGATAAAATACTAAAACACAAAAACATTGAAACTAAAATAATACCCTCATGATCATATGTTGGTTTTCCAGCAGACTAATTTTTGTAAATCATATTTTTTTTCATTGCCGTATACCAACATCTCATTTTATTACCTTTAGTTGCATAAGACTAGACTATATTGTGCTATATTACAAAAAATAATTACAGTTAAAGAAAGCGTGCTAAAGTAGTTTTATTGTCTATATTTATTTCTTATGAAATCTTCTAAACATGTATTTTTAGATAGACAGGGGCATTTGAAAACATTAGAAATAGCATTGACACTTTTGTACCTCTGGAGCACTATCATTTTCAAGTGCCATATTTAGCCAGTATTAAAAGAATATTCAAACACATTTTTATAAATTTTGTAATTAGCAGTTATGTTTGATCTTTTGCGACCAGGAGTCAATTTCACAAAAATACTTACGACTAAGATTTATCGTAAGTATACTGAGTTGTTCATGACTTACGATCAATCTTAATCGTATTTTTTTTTGTGAAACCGACTCCAGAAGCGTCATGAAACATCAGAAGCAACAAGAAAGTATGCCTTTATCATTCAGCCATCCAATGATATATATACAATATTAGGTCAATGTCGGAAAAATATAAACTTTTTTGTATGAGGTTGAGAAACTGTGGAAGGGCGAGGTTTTACCGAGCCCCTCCCCAGTATTGTGCCGAATACAAAAAAGTTTATATTTTTCTGACATTGACCTAATATTGTTTTTATGCTGCAACTTAAGTTGATACATTGATAGCTATTTAAATTGTAGCGTAAATTTCAAATTTATTTTCATCCCTAAATGAACCCCTGATTGTGGAAAAAGTCATCCATGATGAAATTGACATTGCACAAAATATAGCTTTGTTACTATATTAAGGAAATAAACACTGCTACATGTAGTTGCAGTATAAATAGAATACCAAAATTTGTTATATAGACAATCTTTAAATATCAGCTGTATTTGTACGAGGCTAAGAAACAGGTGTAATGCAAGCTTCAGCGAGCTATTTATTACTCCTGTTTCGAGCCGAGTACAAATACAGCTGATATTTAAATACACTAAACAGTTATTGTCTTTATCCTACAATTAATTTTGTACATTGTTTTTGCTTTGAAAGATAGAAAAACTCACATTTATTGCATTTTTTTCGATTTAAAATCCTTTGAGGTTACGCCGAAAAGAATCTCGCATGGTCAACAATAATACCTCGCTCAAAATTAATAATTATTTATTATAACATAACAACTAATTTCAGCAGTAAAAAGAAATAACAAAACATTGTCCGATTTAAGACAAAATTGTTTGATTTGTCCTACGCTTCAGAATTTCAAACTGTTCGTACATTCACTGATTATATTGGTTGATTTTGTGATTTACACATTCAAGTTTTGAACTTGAAGATTGGCGCCGTAGAAAATGGAGTCAATCAAATGGGTTGTGGATCGGAGACTGGAACATTCACAGACGGAGCAATACATCATTGGAATGCAATTGCAATACACATTCTGAGGTCACGAAAGTTCATACAACACTCACCAACAGCAGTACACAAAAATAGTCCGGCAGTGGGCGGAGCTTTAAAGTTTAAAGCGATATCTGTATAGTATACAAATACAGGCTAGCGATATCTGTTGGACTGTTTATGCATGATAAGACATCCAATTGCAGGATAAATATCCTGCAATCGACCTTTCTACTATACTAATACAGGTATACAGATAACACGAAGCGATATACGTATACTAGACGTATATAGTCTCCTGGTATCCTGCTTCTGTTGCGAGCGAACGGTTGTCAAAATACTGTTTACGTCACAGTTCAATTTGGGGTCCTCATTGCGGTCCGCGTTTAAGTCATGCATATTTCTTTCAAAAGAAAATTCAACGATTGAGATGGGGAAAAATGTACAAAATTAATTGCAGGATAAAGACAATAACTGTTTAGTGTCTTTAAGTATCAGCTGTATTTGTACTCGGCTAGAAACAGGAGTAATTGCTCTCTCTGAAGCTCGCATTACACCTGTTTCCTAGCCTCGTACAAATACAGCTGATATTTAAAGACACTAAACAGTTATTGTCTATTTATCAGGTAATAATTTCAGATATTATTTTTTGTCACTATATTTGATGTAAATAATGATTACATCACTTACAATAAATGCATCGTTATGTTGAAACTAAATCTATACACTTGTTTGACTTCCATAGAAGGAAAAAACGCCTTGGCTTTCATTGACCGACCAACACAGAGGTCAGCCACTATTCATTATGCCCCGACAGCAAATGATCAGAAACAGATGTCTGACCAGGGAATATCTGGGTTGTTTGTTGTCGAGTATGATGTCCAGAGAAAATTTGACGCTGGTGAAGTCATGGTAAAACATATTCTAATTTAATTCAATAATGTTATGTAAGACTTAAATGATCAAACCTTATACTGAGTAAAACATTACTTGCCATAGTGTCAGTATTTTGTCGATGGTATTTGAAAAGTGGCCAGGTTACATAGGACTTCAGTTATAATGTTCATGTATGACCTCCTCGATTATTATATAGTTATGCTCTATATACTTTTCGATTAATTTGATTACTTTAGTCTAGTAGCATGCGACAAAGAGCAAAATAATATGAATTGCAATAAAGAGTTTTATTCAAAATTCTGTTAATGTTGCTTTTCAGTGTTGTAGTTTAGTATTCTGTTTATTTTGAAATTTAGTTATGTAGGTTTATCTTGTTTTTTGTTGTTGCTTTTTTTCAATCCGAAAACCTGATTTGTGTGTTATTTTGTTTTGTTGAATCAATTCCAGTCTTCCTATTGTTAACAATTTGAATACATTTTAAGTTTAGCTTTATGACTTAATGTTGATATTCGCAAATTAATTAAACACTGTGTATTAAATATAAATGGGCTATTTAAAACAATTACAACAAGTATTACAAAACGTTTATTTGGAAATCATATTTTCACAGGTTGTTGACGGATACTTTGTTCACTTTTTCGCACCAGAAGGAATGGATCCTATACCAAAAGACGTTTTATTTATCTTAGATGTAAGTTCATCCATGTCTGGCACTAAAATCCAACAACAAAGAGATGCCATGGATAGCATTTTGCAGGACCTACACGAAGGTGATAAATTTAACATCATGGAGTTCAGTACACGTGCAAATTTATGGCAGAAGACATTATTGTCAGCTAACACAGAGAACAAACAAAAAGCACGTGATTACGCAAAAAACATGGACGCGAATGGATGTAAGTATGACATAAAGAACAAATACTTTGACATTTACTGAAGAGTGAACCATTGCATTGCTGGTGGACTACTAGTCTCCGAAGGTATCGACAGCCAGTAGCCATTACTTCGGTACTGGCATAAAAATACGGCTATTGTTTGATTGAAATTTGCTGTTATGAAATTTTGTAAGTCATTTTAAATCAAGGAATATATATCTCTTTCAAAAGGAGGGTTTGAAATATTGTATAGACATATTGTCTAGAGTTGGAGACCACATGCACTTTTTGTTGTAAGTCTAGGGTAGGTGTCTCATTGACGTACACCCAAACCTGTTTAATGTATAGCATTGACGTCATTTTCAAGGGTTTAACAGTCACAAATATTTTAAATATAAAAATAAGGAGATGAGATATGATTGCC